AAAAGGCTCTGAATCTTACAAAAACAAAATACCAAGCGTGGAGAAGCTAGCAGAAAAGTGCCAGTGACCTTTGAAATTCTGGAAGTTATTTAGTGGAAAGCCGAGGAATCTCTGATTACCTATGTGAATCCGGAGCAGTAGCCAGTTCATTGATCTTTCCCTGCTTGACGATATAATATGGATTAGATCGCGAAAAACCGGCAGACTCCATGAGATTCACAACCTGAGTAGAACCCATTGAAAACAAATCATGAGCATAAAAGCGAAAGGATACGGTAAAGCTCTTACCTCAGCGCGAGGTACCATCTTCCCATCAATATAATACTGATCCTTTTTGTGTCCAACCTGACGTACCACCCGAACCTCGGTCCCTTCGATCTGAAGGATCAAGTGCTCAAAAAGCTGAGAGTAAGGAAAGTAAAAGAAAAGGTAGGCTTACAGCAGGTATTCTTCGGTCACTATTGTCAAACACTATTTCGACGCGAGCGGTGTTGATACGGGGTCCAGTGCCTTCGTGTAAAACACCCATTCTCTGTTCCGAACGAAGGTGACTGAACTCATCACTCAGAACGAACTGAATGGCTGCAAAACTGATAGATCAGTATAGTGTACCGGATATTTCTGAGCTGGTTTTCTCCTTCAGCCAGTCATCACCCAATCGGGTCATTTGCCTCTATGGGGTCATTACGTCGACTGACTAATACTCTTGTTATACCTCCTCTTCGCAGGCATGCACCAATACGGAGACCTGATGCTTGAATTCAATGGGCTGAGGATTATGGAGGGTTTTTATCTCCAAGTTTTCACAGCACTTTTTGTACTTTGATGCAGTAATAGAGCGTCATCCTCTGCGGCAGCGTTTCAAGCGACTAGAAAACTATAAATATCTATCTAGCGTTTTGAGCGTAGTTCATCGCTTTGAGCGTCTCGAGAAAAGCTCTGAGCTTTACGCGGGCAGTCACTGAAAACGCTGGCGCTGGCGAAAACGATGCTCAAAACGCTAGATCGATACCTATACCTTCCTAGTCGCTCAAAACGCTGCCGTACGGTCGAAAGGCTATCCGAAAGTTGTTCTTTGGCCAGCGTAAGGAAATAACTGTGGTAGACGGTACGCTATCGGGAACCTAATTAGGTCGCCCAAACGTAAGTCAGTAAACATACTCGACCTTAGTCATACCTGTGACTTGATAATCTCATCTATGGACTTCTTATTTAAGTTATTTACTTAGGCTGCGTTCATACTTTGCGCACGCGTACGTCGACCTTGGGAACGCCAGCGTGCACCAGCGTATGCCAGCAAACAGCAGCTTTTCGCGGGCAATTTTGCTCAAGCTCGAATTGCTCGCGAGAATAGTCGCTGGCGTTCGTCAGCTCGATACCCATACTTTCCTAGTTGTCAGCACTGGCGTACGCTCGAAATGCTGCGGTAGGTTGACACAAAGTAGGAACGCAGTTTCAAGAACACTCTCGAAGACCTCAATTCTTTGCAACAAATCCCTTCTGAAAAGCCAGGCTATTGAGATCAGGATTAACACCACTAATTAATTTTTGGAAACCTCAATTTTCAAGAAAAATAAAATGGAAACTATTAAACAAGGAAAACGCAGTCACTAACCAAAAAAGAAGTTGGATTTCCCACTGCCATTACGTCCAACTATGACGTTGTGCTTCGGTGAGAAGCTGTCAATGCTTGTGACTTCGCGATAGCTTCGGAACCCGGTGATGTTCACCTAGTAAAACACCATAAGCTATTAGAATTTACTTCGTTCATGGATACAAACAAATGATACCTCTTTAATATGCATTCTAGTTTCACGTGAATCTTCATATATATAAAATACCTGCAACCAAAGGACTTGAGAGCATTCGAACCTTAGCGACCAAGCATACGCGACAACTTCACGAAAAAAATGTAATACAAAAACCATGCGCGCAATAAAGCGCCTCCGAATTTTAAAATGAGACCGCGACGCCGCCGCGGTAGGAAATGTTTTCACTGGAGCGAGATTGTTCGCTTTGGGGCATACTATTTGGTGACAGTTGTCATCGCCCGTGTGACTCCACTTTGAATGTAAATAAGCCAATGAAACAACGTGAGTAGGAATTTTGTTTCTTTTACGGAATAGTATCGTTTTTGAGATGGTTTTTAGCCAAAATGCGTTTTTCTTCAGCATGGGGAATGTACACTCGTCGTCAAGTTCGTCTGACGTGCTTCCAGTGGAATATTATCTTAACGACTTGGCTTGTGGAGAACCGATAGAAAGGCAAGCATAGCTAAGGAATAAGATCAGCGCCAAATCACAAAAGCTTGGCATTTTGTAGATTCCTGTCAAGATGCAGGACTAATTTGTAAAGACCTGTAAACTGCTGCGAAGCCTCAAAATTGCGCGAACTATCTGCAAATGGTTCGTCACGGGAGGGGGCATTTTGTACTTTGCTAATTCCATTGACGGTGAGCTTAAGGAATTGACAGGTTGTACCCTCGTGGCGCGACTAGCCTGTGCCAGCTTCACGAAAGTTCACAGGTTTACGAGAGTGTTACTTGTAAACTGTAACCAGTGAAATAGCGAAAGTCCGAAGAACAGTGCGTACGAATGAGCAATAGGCTTGGAGAGTTGTGGGGGAGGGGAAGAACTGTGTGAAGGCTTGACTGAATCTATTGTTCCGACCTAGCTGGAATACTCATTACAAAATGTGGAAAGCATTCTTGCACAAAAGTTGCTGCCCCCAGCAAATAGCTGCTTCTTTCCTTAGAGACGGAAATTCTCAGCGATGTTCATCTGGAGAAGGGCATTTTGCACTACTGCTGGTTCATATTGTTAGGTAATGTTAAGTAACGGGTCTAATTTTGGCGAGAACTGTAAACTGCTGTGAATCTGCGAAGTGGTAAAGGTTGCCCTCTGTATTTTCAAGAAATCACCGGTCTTCATATAGTGACTTGTACAAGTTTTGGTGTGTACCATTTGGTGCCCCCACCAAACCGAATTCTGCCACATTCTCATCACCTGGCTCGCAACTGTTTCGTCGCACTTTCCTTCACTCGGAAGTTGTCCATCACGCGAAAAAGTGGCCGAAAAATGAAGCTTGCGAC